AGCTTTTAATCAAATTATTAGCATAAAGGCAATACAGTATATCACAGAACATTTAGGAAAATAAGGAAGAATAAGCCATAATCACTTGATTCTGTTGTTTTGTGCCACCGAATTGATTTAGTAACACCACATGACAAAGTAGAATTGCCCCATAGGTTTTCTAGGCTGGAATCTAGGTGGTATTAAATAATGCAGGAAGCATCAAAAGAAGATGGAAAGAATTCACAGAGTCACCGTACCAAAAATAATTGGTTGATATTCCAATATTTTAGGACACAGCCTATGACCAAGAACTGATTGCACTGAGGAAAGAAGTCCAATCTGTACTGAAGGCATTGGTGAATAACGAGTCTCCAGGAATTGACAGAATACCAACTGAAATGTTTCAACAAATGGATGTGATGCTGTAATGGATGCTGGAAATCTTGTCAAGAAATTTGGTAGATAGCTACCTGGCCAAAGAACTGGAAGAGACTGATATTTTTGCTCATTACAAAGTAAAGTGATCAACAGAATGTGTAAATTATTATCACATACAAGTAAAATTTTGCTGAAAATAATTAATAAATGGTTGCAGTAGTGTATCAACAAGGAATTGCCAGAAATTAAAGACAGATTTGGGAGCTCTGGTGGCATAGTGCCAAAGGCCAAACCCACCAGTCACTCCTCAGAAGGAAGGTTGGGAAATCTACTTCCATAGCAATACTGCCTCAGAAACCCAAGGAGGGGTAGCTATGGAGTCAGATCTGACTTGACGGCAGTGAATTTTTCTTTTAGTTAAAGACAGATTCAGAAGAGGAAGTGGAACAAAGGATAGCACTGCTGATGTCAGATGGATCCTGGCTGAAAGCAGAGAATACCAGAAAAGATGTTTATTTGTATTTTATTGACTATGCAAAGGTCTTAGACTGTGTGGATCATAACAAATTATGCATAATAATGCAAAGAATGGGAATTTCAGAACACTTAATTGTGGTCATGCAGAACCTGTGCATAGACGAAGAAGCAATCATTTGAAGAGAACGAGGGGATATTGTGTGGGTTAAAATCAGGAAAGGTGTGTGTGGGGGTTGTATCCTTCCACTACACTTATTCAATATGTATGCTGAGCAAATAATCTGAGAAGCTGTATTTTATGAAGAAGCATGTGGCATCAGGATTGGAGGAAGACTTATTAACAACCTGTAATATGCAGATAATATGCAGGTAACTTGCTGAAACTGGAGAAGGCTTGAAGCACTTACTGATGAAGATCAAAGATTACAGTTTTCAGCATAGAGTATCCTCAACATAAAAAAAAAAAAAAAAAGTCCTCACAACTGGACCAATAAGCAACATCATGAAATATGTAGAAGAGATTGAAGTTGTCGAAGATTTCATTTTGCTTAGATCCACAATCAACCATGGAAGCAGTAGTCAAGAAATTAAATAGTGTATTGCATCGCGTAGATCTACTACAAAAGACCTCTTTAAAGTGTTCACAAGCAAAGATGTTACTTTGAGGACTAAATTGTGCCTAATCCAAGCCATGGTATTTTCAGACTTCTCATATGCATGCAAGAGAAGGACAATGAATAAGGAAGAACAAAGAATTGAACTTCTGAATTATAGTATTGGCAAAGCATATTGAATGTATCATGTACTGCCAGAAGAACAAACAAATCTGTCTTGGAAGACATATAGCCAGAATGCTCCTTAGAAGAAAGGATGGTGAGACTTTGTCTTACATGCTTTGGACATGTTATCAGGAGGAACCAGTCCCTCAAGAAGGACATCATGCTTGGTAAAGTAGAGAATCAGAGAAAAAGAGGAAGGCTTCACCGAAATGGATTGACACAGTGGCTACAAGAATGAAGTCAAACATAGCAACAATTATGAAGATGGCAAAGGACCAGGCCATATTTTGCTCTGTTGTACGTAGGGTTTCTGTGAGTAGGACCCAGCTTGACAGTACCTAACGACAACAACTCATAATCTTTTAAATGGCCATGTAAATAGTTACTGAATGACCCCTCCCATTGCTGTGTTTTCACATAGCTGACCCTGTTCAGCTGATGAACATTTAAGTTGCTTCCAATTTTCTGTCAAGAAATATTTTGAAATGCCAAAGTCCAGTGCAGCAGAATATCACTGTTCCTAGATGCTGACTCTAATAGACTTTGACTTGTGCTTGTTTTCCCTTTTTCTCAAACGAGTGTGGGACGAAATCACTCCTAGAGAATGCTCAGAAAAATGGCAAACACAAAAATAGGAGAAATGAGGCTGTGAAATGAAATCATGTTGAGCTTTTAGGAAGAAAAGCACCTGAGAAACTCAAGCCACTGCTGTTTAGGTTTTGTTTTTATAACTCATGTATTAGGCATAAATTTATACTAAATTATGTCAAAGTGTTTTCCCCTTGTGCAGTGGCATCACTGTAGTTGGTATCACCCCGTGTGGTAACTCATGGTGTCATTCCTCCCCCAAAGGACCTCGTTTGTACCAGACCGTACAAAATCCTTAGTAATGTTTATTATCATTTTTAATCATAGAAAAGTATGTGATATAGTTGTAAATTGCTTAAATGTTCTATTTCTTTGAATATATGAATACTAACAACAAAATAGATTTGTAAAATCTTTCTACATTGAATTACATTATTACATTAGTAGTAACTGAGCAGAAGATTTTGAAAAAAAATTCTCCTTTTCCATTAATTGCTACTTCACTCTCACAAAAGTTGATAATATAGGTTCACAGGTACTAATCACCACAATATTTATCAAAATTTATAAAAAAATTCTCAATATTCATCAAATTTGATAAAACCAATGACTATAAAAACATCAGCAGCAAAAAAAAAAAAAAAAACAGTGTATGCAGATGAAACCATGCAATCTGAAGCATCATTGTAATTGGTTAATAATGACAGCTCTGATGTGAACACATATAAGGGTCAAAAAGTAAATAAACAGAATTTTAGCTTTTTAAATATATTGACAGAAGGAAGCTGGGCTTATAAAAAATTGTTGTTATAACTAAATACAGGGATATTTTTATAAAAAGGAATAAATTCCTGCTGAAACACTACAAAAACTTTAGACAGTCATTTTGGTGTCACCCCATCTGACATGTTACCTAGTATAGTCTGTACCCCCTGTACTCCTCTGCCACTGCCCTTGTGCTTATTCTGGGAAGCACTGCAGTGTAGCATTGAGGGCTTCTGTGCAGGAAGGCCTGGGTCTGGATCTCTGCTGTCGTTTGCTTTCGGTGTGAATGCCAGAGCTGCTGAATGTTAGTCTGTCTTTTTGCAAAATTGGAACAATAATCATTATGACAGGACTGATCAAGATCATGCCACTGGGTACTGAGTGGTGATGGGAAGAATCAGTAAGAGTTGCTAGGGAAAGCCCAGAAAGGCCACCTAGGCAGAGGGAAGACAGAACTGGCTGCATGAACTTTGTTTTTCCAAGCCTCTATTTTCCCTCTTGTACTTGGGAGCTCTGGTGGTATAGTGCTTCTTAGGCATTTGACTGGTAACCAGAGGCTGGTAGTTCAAACCCACCAGCCACTCCTTGAAAGGAAGGTTGAACAATCATTTCCATGGTGATACTGCCTGGGAAACCCAAGGAGGGCTCACAATGAGTCAGTTTTGGTTTGGTACTAGAGTTTGGTGTATGCTCTACATAAGCCATTCTTTTTCTGGCATTTTGGGGTAGAAGGACTCCTCCAGGAAGTCTCCAGAGAAAACCTCTCCCAAGAGAGGGCTGTATGGTCCTGCAAGTACCACCCTGGACTTGTTTAAGCCTCCTCAGCAGAGTCTCCACTGCTCAACTCGGCCCAGATCCCTAAGAAATTTCCTAAGGCCAGGCCTGTGCCTGACAGGAATCATCCATGCCCCTGACTTCCAGGGCAGCAAAGTGCTATATAGCATCTTTCATAACACCTGCCATGTTTGGGGGGGAGTGGCAAGAAGGATCATCAGATTCAGTACATTGTTATTTAGAATTATGATACCAGTCTGTTGGCAAGGGTGGTAACAATAACCTCATATTGACTATGACTGACAGGGATCATTAATCATTAATCCTTTTACTTTTGGAACCCAACAGGAGACTACCCAACATCTAGTGGTTAAGGGCTGGGATGTGTAATCAGAGACCTGTTTTTAGGCCTCTCACAGCTTCATTTGTAAAGTGAGAATAATAATAGTACTTGCCTCCTAGGGTTGTTGCAAGAATGCAGGAGACAGTGTTTGTCTTAGCACAATGCCTAGCACACACTAAGCACTCAGTAATACTAGGGTGTTATTATTATTTTAATAATTATTAGCAAACGAATATGGTGTAGCTGCATGAGACTAAACTTCCAAGGCAAAAATGTTAAGATAGCACAGTGAACTTAGGTGGAGACCAGTGAGTACACAGGCCAGGAGAAGACTGAGCATCCGACGCAGGGCCTCACGTGAGCAAGGGAGGAGAGGGGCTTCTGCAGCAACCTCCAAGTCGGAGAGAAATGATTTCAGGGGCGCGTACCAACCGCCGCTTTGTATCTTTGATTTTTCAGGGAAAGTCTGCACCTACCACCCATGTGCTTCCTTTCCTGGCCTGCGGGAAATGATTGCTTGTGAGGAAGACCAAGGCACCATGCCCACGGCGACGCGGGACCGAGGAGTGTAGTGTTAATCCCCGCCCCCGGAGCTCAGGCACGCCGCCCACTCCTTGCAGTCCTTGCGGTTCAGGCACCGGGAGTGGCCCTTTAAAAGGCAGTGTCTAGTCCGGACTGGGCGGGGGTGGGTGTGCTGACAGGCGCCGGAGGCCCGGCCCCTCCCTCACGGCGTCCCTCCCTCGGTCCTCCGGTCGCTGGCGGGCAGGCGCACGTTCTGCCTCCGTCAGTCCGAGCGCTTACCGACTGCGAGGCGTGGAGCAGAGCCCGATCGAGACGCGCGGCCCTGGGTGGGACGTGGCGCTCACAGCTTCTCTACGCGAGATCTGCCTGCCACGGGCTAAGCCCCCGCCACGATGGCAGAGCTGGGCAGCAAGGGGGTGACGGCAGGGAAGATTGCCAGTAATGTGCAGAAGAAGCTCACTCGCGCTCAGGAGAAGGTGAGCTAGCAGGAATCCCGGTCACCCCCGCCTCCCAGGCCAGTTCTCACCCGGGCTTGGGCGCTGTCACGCCCGAACGACTGCCAACGAAGCTTTAGAGATCCCCCAGGCTTTGGTCCCTGCTCTATAGGCGCCCTCTCCGGCCAGCGTCCTCCTTCTCCCCACCCCCCGCGTGGATGGGAAAGGGTGCAGCTATCCTGCCCTCCTCCTCCGCTCTCCACCCCATCGACCGCTTTCTGCCTTCTCCACACCTCGGCCCAGAGATCTGGGGCTCTTCCTGCTGGCAGGAGGCCCCGCCTCACCCTCCCTGGGAGATCCAAAGCCCTGAGCTGGAGACGAAGTGGGACTCCAGCCCTCCAGGCCCACGCGAGAGCCAGGCGGTACTGGCTTGGTAGAGGCGAAGCCCTGCTTCTCCACCTCGACCACTTTACCCGGGTACCAGAGGCTGCTTCCAGGGCTTGCGGGTTGCCAGTGCATTTGGCTCCCGGCTTCTGGTTGCTCACTGCGCCCGCTGTCCTCTCCTTTCTACCCTTTTCCACCTCCTTTCCCCGCAGGCAGAAAGAGGGATCTGGTTTCCTCTCCCCGGAGGATCTGGGGGCTTGGAGATCAGGCCTGGCTGAGTCTTGAGCCGAGGGGCTGCGCTCCCCTAGAGGAGGTGCCTGAGCCTGTGCGGGGGGCTTGGGTATCCGCGGCCGGGGACCAGGTCGTGGTTCTGGTTCAGGAGCCCGCGGCCCCGGGATTGGGAGCTGAACAGGAGGAGGGCGGCGGGCTGGGGAGGGGTGTATAGGACGCCGCGGCCCTTCTCAGGATCACTGCCCTTAGACTCTTGGGTAGCAGAGCGTATAGGCATGGACTTCCCCGGGCACCTGGTTGGTGTAGGAAATGCAGGGACTGGGGGTGGGGGTCCTCGCCTGCTCTGTTTTCTGTTCCCAGCCACCTCTGCTTTATTGAATTGGATCACGCCAGCTGCTGACGCCACTTCCCCTGCTGCCTTTGACTGTAATCTGAGATTGCGGGATCTGGTGCTGGAGCCTGGGTGCCCCCCTCCGGTACCGCGCAGCGGGAACTGCCCCCTCTCCTGCCCATTGTGCAGCCAAGTGGGGACCCTGGGACAGTCTGGCCTTCACCTATCAGGCCGAGGTGTGGAGAAGGCTGTTTATAAACAATGACTTTTGCAGCTGGGACCTGCGGGATCCCCGAGGATGCATCACGTGATGGTGTTGGTGTTGGTGGAGGGGAGGCGGCTAGAGGTTTGCTTGTGCTTCCCTGAGCCGTGCTGTTTATCCTTGTGGTTCCGATGAAGTGGAGGCAAGTGTGCAGGGAAGGGCCCTTAGCCAAGCTCCAGATCTGGCCAATACAGTTCAATTCCCCGGGGGAGAGGGCTGAATTAGAGCTCCAAGGATCTGGCTGTGGGCTTTGAAGACTAGGAAGCTCTAGGCTGCCGGGTGGGGTGGGGGTGGTGCTGACTTGGGGCTCTTGCCCTCTGGGGCAGGTGCTGCTCCCTCATCCCCCATGACTGGGCAATCCAGATAGGTCTCTGAAGTAGGCAGCCCTACTGGGTTGGGCTTCCTCCAACTCAGGGTCCAAGGAAGAAGAATGGGAGGCCTCGGAGACAAATGCCCTGCCCTTACATCACTGATGTACTGTGCCTTCCTGGCTCCCAGAAGAGTTTGGTGTGTCATCTTTACCCTGGTTTCCTTTTCTCTGCTGCAACATCTTTGACATCATTCTGAGGCAGCAGACAGGGTTTTGTCCCCTCTATGTAAATGGCCATATATCGTCACTAATTGCACAGAGCTGCCATCCCTTGCTGGCCCTCCTGAAGGCTCCTGGCTGAGTCCCTGAAAGTAACCTTCCTTCCATCTTTTCCTGTCTTGGATCGCCTTCAGGACCCCCTCCCAGGAAGCCTGATACCTCAACCCACACAAGCCTCACCACTTTGCCCACTAACTTGGGCTGCCTGCTCATGTCTAGCTTGTGGCATTGCCCATGTGACTGTGATCCTTTGTGTCTTTTACTTATTTATTTTTTAATAAATTGGTTTAGGAGCTCTGGTAGCATAGTGCCTAAGGCACTTGACTGCTAACCAAAGGCTGGCAGTTCAAACACACCAGCCACTCCTCAGAAGAAAGGTTGGGCAATCTACTTCCGTAGTGATACTGCCTGGGAAACTCAAGGAGGGGTCACTATGAGTTGGGTCTGACTCGACGGCACATAATAACAACAAAAGCAAATTGTGTTTTAGGTGAAAGTTTAAACAGCAAATTAGGTTCCACTTTAAAAATTTTTATATAAATTTTTCTATGGCATTGGTTATAATTTTTACAATGTGTCAGCATTCTCATTATTTCTGTTCTTTTTTTTCTCTCTCCATTGGTCTAGTTCCCCTTCCCCTCTTTACCTTCTCATCTTTGCTTTTGGGAAAATGTTGACCATTTGGTATCATGTAGTTAATTGCTTAAGGGAGCACATTACTCATGTGTGATATTGTTTGGTTTTTAAGCCAATCTATTATTTGGCTGAAAGGTGACCTGCAAAAATAGCTTAAATTCCAAGTTTAAAGGTTATTTTAGGGGTATAATCTTGGGGGTACCTTTAGTCTCTATTTGTTCAGTAGGTCTGGCGTTTCTTAAGAATTTGAGTTTTGTTCTATATTTTTCTTCTATTACATCCAGAACCTTCTATTATGTCCCTGGTCAGAGTGGTCAGTAGTGGTACTTGGGCACTGTCTAGTCTTTCTGGTCTCAGGTTAGAGGAGTCTGTGGTTCATGTGGGCTGTTAGTCCCATAGACTAGTGTCTTCTGTGAATTTTTGATTTCCTTCATTCCCTTTTGCTCCATATGAGTTTTACAACCCCGTATGCTACTCATTAATTAGAATGTAGACCATTATCTTTGTGAATAGTACCATGCCAGTTGACTAAGTTTTTCCCAAAGACCATGGTCCCAAGCCTTTCAACCCAGTAAACCAATCCCACAAGTTGTTTGGATATGTCTAGAAAAGCTCTGTCACTGTGCCCACTGTGTAATTTGTTATATGTGTGGATATATATGCAACATACATAAATATGTGTATTTGTATGCCTACAGATACACCTATAAATGCACATATGTTTACTTGCATATGCCTTTCTATATACATACATGTATCCATATCTACATAGATAAAGAGGCAGTCACTTGAATGGACCAAAGGGATACTGCATGGCTTAAAATCAAGAAAAATGTGTGTCAGGGTTGTATCATTCATCATACTTATTCAGTATTGTAAGCTGAACACGATAATTTGAGAAGTTGGTCTGTATGAAGAAGAACGTAGCATGAGGATTGGAGGAAGACTCATTAACAACCTGTGATATGCAGATAACACAACCTTGCTTGCTGAAAGAGAAGAAGACTTGAAGGACTTACTGATGAAGATTAAAGACTACACTCTTCAGTATGGATTTCACTTCAACATAAATTTAAAAAGACCTCACAATTAGACCAGTAAGCCACATCATGATAAACGCAGAAAAGATTGAAGTGGTCAAAGATCCATAATCAACAACCATGGAAGCAACAGTCAAGAAAGCAAACAACATATTGCATTGAGCAAATCTGCAAAAACCACCAAGTGTTAGAAAGCAAAGATGTCACTCTTACAGGTCAGGTGTGCCTGACCCAAGCCATGGTATTCTCAATTGCATCATATGCATGAGAAAGCTGGACAATAAATAAGGAGGACAAAAATACTGATGCATTTGAATTGTGGTATTGACAAAGAATATTGAATATACTATGGACTGCCAGAAGAACAAAAAAATCTGTCTTGGGAAAAATACAACAAAGTGCTCCTTAAAAGTGTTGCTGGTGAGAATTTGTTTCACATACTTTGGGCATGTTATCAAGTAGGACCAGTCCCTGGAGAAGGGCATCATGCTTGGTAAAGCAGGTCAGTGAAAAAGAAGAAAACCCTCAATAAGATAGATTGACACAGTGGCTTCTACATTGGGGTCAAACAGCAATGATTGTGAGGACTGGGCAGTTTTTTGTTCTGTTGTATGTAGGGTCACTATGAGTTAGAACCAAAGTCAACAGCACCTAACAACAACAAATATCCATATCCACTTATATAACCATAAACATATTTTTTGGCTGTTTTACTGTTGATGCAAAATTGTATATGCTATAGCATTTACTGAAAGTGTCCTTTTATCTTGGGAACTTCTTAGCATCTCTGTTTACCTTGATAAGGTTATGCTGACTTTATACATAGATCCCCTATATCTCACCAGCATCACCTACCCACCCCACACCCTGCACCTAGCTTGTCCTGTTAATTCCAATTTCTCTGAGGCCATCAGAGGGTATTTCCTGACCAACAAGCAGGAGCTTTGGTGGAGGGCCAGACCTCTCATCTTTTCCCCTTCCCCTCTCAGCATAAACATCCTCTGAGACACATGGTAGCAGTGGGATCAATGGAAGCCTGCCTTCTTGTATTGTAGGACTCTGTAGGTATCACTGAGGCAGCTGCTTTTGTCCCCCAGCTCAAGTGCATTCCTCCTTGGAATCCTGGGTCACACTTCTTTGTTACTACCTATTGATCTTCCTGACTCCATCTGGATACTCCTGGGCAGGGGAGGATCCTTTGTGTTTACCATCAGCACCCACCTGGTCCCCAACATTTTGGGGCTTGGCTTACAGGCCTCATACAAGCCTGTGGGTGGGCTGTTTGGTACTATGAGCTACTTTTGCCTTCCCTTACTGAAATATTGTTTGGATATGTGCTGTGTGCCTGTTCAATGCCTAGCCTTATGATGCAGCTGTGAGCAAGGTGGATGTTGTTCTAGCCTGCATGGAGCTTCTTGTTGTAGTCCTTGTAGCCTATGGTCCAAGTATGAGTTTCATGTCAGAATGAGTTGGAAGGGTCACCTGGGCCTGCCAACATGGTACCACTCTGCTCACTTCTTGCCTCCAGCCACCCTCCGGGTACTAAGTGCAGAGTGGGGCCTGTAGCCT